ACTGCTTGTTGGTCAGACAACACTCTTTGTATGTCTCTGTTGTACCACTAGTAGTGGAGTTGTCCCATGTCCTTCACAGCACTGCCATTTGCTGCTGGTGATTGAAGTAAAGATTAAAGCTCTCCGGTGTCTTCGATGGTGAAAATAGACGTTTTCAGATTCCCAGTGTCTTACTCTTAATGTCAACATTGGTTCATATGGGACAAAGTTTAAATACTAGCTTTCTGCAGGAGTTGGGAGTCTGACAAGGATAGGAGTTGCCTGCTTGGCAGGGATAACTCCCAGCGTCTGGCTCTGTCAGCATGGTGGGTGAGATCCAGTTTGATGGTGTGTGGCTGGGATTTAGTGTGTTTAGTACCAATTAAGCAACATACTTGAACTCTGGTAATGTTCAAAGGGTTGTAAGGAGATTTGCCATAATTAACATAGACGTAGAAGAGTTATTTCTGTCTTGTTAAGTACTGGTGTTTCCCCATGTAGACATGACAGCATGCATGTATGCTTTTTGGCATTTCTAGTTTTTAACTTGGTCTCCTTAGGTTTAGCACTGAAGTGGTTTAGTGTCTAGAAACAGTGCTTTGCAGTCTCTAGCTATACTCTGAAGGAAATTTTTGGTCACTCTCAGAGAGGGGACCTTGCAGCATACCTGTAGGCCTACAAAGGAATGCTATTATGTAAAACAGCTACTAGGAGACTCCCTAATCCACCTCCAATCCCTGCATTAAGGGAAACATCCGCTTTACTGCACATGCAGTATTGAATTAGAAATCCAACCTGCTGTCATATCTTCCCAACCTCATGTATTGTCTTTCTTTTCTAAATACCACTCAGGTTCTGTTCTGTCTCACCTGCACTAAATACGTTGGTATTTAAAAGCTTTTTCTCAAAACATTTCTTGCAAACTTGTGTGTTCTGAGGAGCAAACTGAAATGTTTCAGTTGCTCTAGTGGCTGATGCCATATCATTGTGCAAAGGAATGCTCGGTAGCTTGTCTTTTAGCAGTTACATGGCAGCAGCTGAACTTCTTGAAATGCTAAATCCTTATATGGTTAAATGGTTTAAAGGGTTAAATCCTTAGTTCAGGTGTGACAGTTATGTTACAGCTAATAGAGGAGAAATTGCTGTAGAAAAACTGAAATGAATACAGGTTTTTGGTAAGCTGTGGGATGCATTGCTGATGATGGTGTTACCTATGAGCTCAGTTCTCTTAGGGTTTACAGTGCAATCAATAGGCAGATTAATGTAGTTGAAACACTCTTGTTGCTTTGTGTCACTGACTTCTAAAGTTCATTTTAAGAAGTGCAATACATCCAGGTATTTTCCTGCTTCTCTACACAAGTTGGCTTTACTAGAGAGATTTTAGAGCATTTTTTTGCAGGGTCACAACTGCTGTCATGACCTAAAGGGTTACCAGCCTGGAGGTATGTAGAGGTTGTGACTCTGCGTTAATAGGATTCTGTAATACACAGGGGCATGAAGGGTTTTTTACTCTAAATTTTTCCACTTTATTGTAGATTGCTGCAAATGCCACAGAAATCATCACTAACAATTATAGCTGTGATGGATAAAGTGAATAAATATGAGTGGAAAATAAAAATATATGTCTGTGCATAAAGCTGGTAGAAATTATTGGCAGCTATCAATAGCATGTCAGCAACCAAGTAGGTATAGTGTTACAGGTTGCTACAAGCTTATTTTTAGTGAAGTAAACTCAACGATAATATAGCAGCAGATGTAACTGTGATAAATTACTTATGCACATATGTATATGTTTACAATAATATCAGTATCAAGCTTACTGAACATATCTCAGAATGGGATAAACAGTCCCAAAAATGGGAGGACAAACCAAGCCCTCCCCAGTGATGATCTATTGAGGATTAAGGAGCTGTAGGACATCACCACTTGAGCAGCCGGTAGATGCTTTTAACTGTTTTCTGTTCTTTCAGGCCAATTTTCATTTTTCCAGTCTGTTTTCCTGTTGTTGCAGATAGAATAGCCAGTGGCAATCACCAGTTCTTACTTTCTGTTTTCTCCTTTTTCCAGACTATTTTTCACCTTTTCAGTTGATAAACTGTTGTTACAGTTCCTTGGGTTTGTGCTTATCAGTGGTATCTCAGCATGTCTTCAGTTTCTAGGTATCCAGCTGTGTGCTGCATATCTCAAGGATGCTTCTGGTTCCCAGACCTAACTGCCAGGCTGGCAGGGATTTTCTCTGTCAGTATTGCAGCAGGCATTTTCTTCTGTTAGTAGTTTTCCCTTTCTAACTAGGTGCCCTTTATGTCTGCTCACACCAGCTGCATGTCCAGTTACGACACGTGCCAAGCCTCTCAATATTTTACTGTTTCTTGCCCAGCAGGAGATTGGGAGCTGTGATTGATATGCCTGGGAGGGAAATTATGGAAATCTTAGAGCTGAAGCTCGACCTTTTATGTTTTACCCTTTTGTGTGTGTGTGTGGAAGGGGAAGGATGTTTGAATTTGGACTGTTTTAAGATGAAATCCAAGAGTGCTCTGTTCTCATCGTCAGGGAAGATACTCATCTGTAAAGCTCAGTAGATGGATGCCGTGGTGAAATGTTCTTATGGGTTCTTCTCAGGGGTTCATGACCTCTGCTGTCCGTGGCCAACTTAACTTGTTCTGCAGAAGGACCACTCAGGGCTGGAGAAATATCCTCTGGAAGTTCAGTTCAGCTTGGTGAAACTGTGGATTATTTCGAGGGAGAGAGCAAAGAAGCAGGGAAGAACTCTCACCCCTCCATGGCTTTGGTTGCTTGACAAACTTCAGAGTATTGAAACAAACCCTGAGGTTTTACTGTGCCAGACCACAGTGCTGCCAGAGTGGCAACAAATACTGCCTTAAAGAGTTGGAGGGGCCAGAGCAGTTGTAGTGGGTGGATTTGAATGCCATCATGTCTTTGAGAGCTAGGAAATGCTATGAAATGTGAAGATGTAGCAGTCCTTAATGATGGGGTGCTGTGGTTTTTGTTTTGATCCATAGGAATTCTGTCTCATTCATTGTGTACCTTTTAGCTCTGCCTCTTTCCATAGTCTCTGGACTGCTTGTCCTAGCGGACAAGTTTCTGGGGGTTTTATTTTGGTTTTAGTAGAACAAGATGTAGTGCGATCAGAGCAACTGGAATTAAGGAAGCTGGAAGATCTGAGTAAACTTTCAGGGGCATTGAGGTTAATTTATACTACTTGTGGTTTTCTTATGTACACACAATGCATAGTCACTTCCTCATAAAAGTAAAAAGAGTGCTTAATGGAGAATTTTTTCCTTTAATGGTCTTGAGAAGATAGCATCTCTTCAAGCTTTGGAACTTTCTGTGGTATCTTCATATTGCACAAGCGCCAGTGCATTTGAAGTGCAGCAGACGTTTCCCTTAAGCTGTGTGCATGCTCTTGTTCTGGAACAAGGCGAGCCCTTGAAAGTAGGGTAGGCTACTTACAAAAGTAGTTTTCTTGTTGGATTAAAAATTCCTTGTGGACATGTAATTAGGAACAGCTCCATAGATAGGTATGCCCTTATGTTCTTTCCATTTATTTACAGGAGAGACAAATCTGCTGCAACAGGGAAAGTTCCCTACCCTGCCTTTGGGAATAAATTTTAGGTTCAGTTGCGGGAGGATAACTTGGGTTTCTGAGCTCCAACTCTTCTTTCTGGGGTTACTAACAAAGCAGTGGGGAGATGACCACGCTACTTTCTGTCTGGTGGAGTTCAGCCTGTACCCTCATAGTGGAAACTGTGATGCTGTCCTGTCACTTTGTGTATCTTTTTCCCATCTCTCCTAATTCTGTACATTAAACCTCTTAGTGCTGCAGGAATACAGACTATCTACAACTCCTAACTCACACAGTGGATAAAATGATCAGAGATCCTGCACAAGGGCCTCTTGCAGAGCAGGGAGAGTTTATCAGCTCCTGTAGGGCTTCAGACCTTCTTGCAATGCGTATGATTGGAGCCAGAGAGGCTCAGATATCAAAATCAACTGATTATCAAAGATTTACAAGGCAGTGTGTGAAAAGAAAAAGAAGAGGTTGCTGGAGGGTATAACATAATATGCGAACCTTGTGAAAACAGTGTAAAGCCTAAACCCCTGTGTCTGTGGTGATACTGGAATTAGCGAGTATTTTCTGTTCTGGTTTGCTGTAAGCTTGAAATACACTTGCTGTTCTAGTATTTAGTGTTGAGATTGAGCTTAAAAACCAGCCCAGAGACCAAAATATAGAGCAGTGGTTTTGTTTAAAGAAAAAAAGAGAGTCACTATCTTTTTGTCTTGTCTCTTGTATGCCTCTCTGGGAAAAGTAACCAGTGGTGGTGACCCCATTGTAGCTCTAGAGTAAAATAAAATGAATGAGGATATCGTGAGTGACAAAAAAGCAAGGCTAATTAGCCACAAAAAGGCTTATACATAGTTAAGACTAACTTCTTATGAAAAAAAATGTGAGAGCATGTAGGTGTATATGTGTGTATGTATGTAGATTACGTACTTACATAAAAATACAGGGGTGCAGAAATCTATGGGTAGAGGGTTATATGGCATCTTACAACTATGTGAATATATGGTTTGCTTTTTTCCTACCCATAGACCCTGGAAAGAAAACAGATACTCTTTTTTTCCTTGTTATGACTACAGGGTTTAGTAGTAGACAGTGTTCCTGCCAGTTGTTTCTTTAGGGAATGAAGGGTATGTCACCCTGTGTTTAGATAAAAGGTAGCTTTTACTCAAGGGCTTATTTTTGATACATTGCGTTTTGAAAGACAAACTTCAAAGTTGTTTTACTCTTTGCTGACCAGTTGTAACTACCCATTTTGTACATGATGCAGCTGTGTTTTTTATGAAGTCCTTTTTAGCCCTGGAATACTTGTTTTTTCTGGTGAACATATTTGGTATAGCACAGATAAAAAAACCCACCTAAGCTGTCACAATTAGATTTTAATTTTCTTACAGAAATACTTCAGGGTAACTAAATCTTTTTCTTCCCCTTTAATTAACAGAGGAGGAGCTCAGGAAGCTGAGAGAAGAAACAAACGCTGAAATGTTAAGGCAGGAACTAGAAAAGGAACGTCAGAGGAGATTAGAACTAGAACAAAAAGTCAATGAAGTACTTAAAGCAAGGTAAGAGAAATGTATGAAGCAAGGTAAGAGAAATATTTTCACTATACAGCTGAAAGACACTTGAGATACCTGATTGTTTCTGAGGGTTTCTGATGAAAGCATCTGTTTCCAGTCTAGGCTCTCTTAAAAATAAGTGAGTAGCTCACACAGGGAGAATCTGCCCATGTTTTTCTGTATAAGTACATCTTGCACATCCATGTACCTGAGTTACTTCACCATGTGTACTGCCATAAATACAGAAGTGTTCTGTCACTCTTGTAGTGGGGATATTCTTCATTTTACCTTTTCCGATGTCTTCTGTTTGGGATCTTGCCTACCTGGACTATCAGCATGTGCTGTGTGCTAATGAATACCATTGCTTATGCTTTTTCTTTTCAAACCTGTGTCATCTCCAGACTACCCAGGCCCTGTTAGTCCTGTTCTAGCAGCAGCAAGGACATCCCAGTACCACAGCCCAACCCTAGAAGTGTGTGAGTGACTGAGTTTGAGCCTTCCTTGCCAATGCAATGACAAATGGAAACATGCCTCCCTAAACCCCAAAGGCCTTTCAGCCTTGAGGACACCCAACTTGATGCAGAGCATAACATTTGAAGTTGTCTCTCCTTAGTTTGCCTAGCTTCATGGGCTTTAGATCTTAAGACCATAGCAGCTGCTTGACGGCCTTGTTGGTCTTACACCACTTGCATACATAGCTGCCTGTGTTATCTTCCTCAGCAGTAGCTGAGATTAGTTGGCTGAGCAGTAAGATCTGTGGTTCACCATCAACTGCTGTCATCAGGAGATAGTGCAGGCTGAACTGGTAATCGCGTATGATAAGCACTGCCAGTTACTTAGACGTGACAAGCAAGAACAAACAGGCAAAACTTTCTGCTTGGGTATGAGGTATCCCAGTGCCATACAAACTCTTCCCAGCCTGCTGCTTCCTTCTGTACTCATCCTCAGTTAAAAATGCCTTTCTGGTCAGACCAGCAGCCTGTGTTCACTGGTATTCTGTAGCAATTGAAATAGGAACTAGTTATAGGAAATGTGAGCCTAGCTGCTCTCTGTGTTCCGTTTACCCTTCTACTGCTATGGAATCATAGAACTGTTTAGGTTGGAAAAGACCTTTATAAACATTGAGTCCAGCCGTTAACCAGAACTGCCAAGTCCATCACTAAACCATGTCCCTAAGTGCCACACGACATGTCTTTTAAACACCTTCAGGGATGGCAACTCAACCTCTTCCCTGAGCAGTCTGTTGCAGTGCTTGACACCCCTTTCTGTGAAATTTCCCGTAATATTTAATCTAAGCCTCCTCTGGTGCAACTTGAAGCCATTTCCTCTTGTCCTATTGCTTGTTACTTGGGGGAAGAGACCAACATCCAGCTAGGCTCCTATAGGAGCCATAAAGTCTCCCTTGAGCTTCCTTTACTTCAGGCCAAACAATCCCAGTTCCCCCTAGCCATTCCTTATAAGCATCCACAAACACTGTATTTAGAGGTATCAGAAAGTACATTTCTGCCTTTTACACTTCAATCTCTGTTTGCACATCTCCTATCCGTGAATTTACTTAACCTCCTCTTGAAAGTGCTGGAGCTATCTGGTAGCTATGGAGGCAATGTTTCAGAAGCCCACTCTTCACTCTAGTGCAGCAATGTATTTTTTCTTTCCAACAGATTTCTCAGTGGTTTCAAGAAGTACCTCACAGTTACAGAATTATGAGATTTGGTTCAGCATTCAGCTTGTTTACCAGCTTAGTTGGTTTTTAACTCTTCTCCTCTCCAGACTGAAGACTTTCAGCTTTTCCAGTGTCTCCTGATAGAGTATGCTTTCATCATTTAAGTTGCCATTCTTTGACTGTTTTGTCTTAAGATGAAGAGGCTGAGTTTGTTCAGTATTCTTTGTGAGTTTACAAGGCTTTAGATTTAGGAGATAAATCAGGTCTTCCTTCTTAGCCTCAGTACTAGTACAGTGGGATTTTTTTAGCTAATGTTTCACACTGATGTTTTTTCAAAATCGGTTGTTCCCTGCAAAGTCAGTCTGTGCGCAGGCTTCACCTGAGCCGCCAAGTTGCATGCTTAGAAGGGTCTCTGCAGTGTCCTCTTATTCCCAAGCCAGCCCCATGGCCATGCACTGGGAAGGTGATCTGGACTGCTCTCATCTGGGGTTTGGGGTTTTTTTTTTTGGCGTTTTTGGCATTTGACATTTTACAGTTACTCTTACAGCTGAGATGTGGGAGTGCATCTTTACTGCCTATGCTGGTTGACTTGGCTGTATGCACACATAACTTCTATTTTGTGTCTAAACTAGTGTTGCTTAGTTGAGTGGGCTGCTGGGGACAGTGGAAGAGGACAAACTTGGACCCATCCCCAAGCTGAGAGTATCAGTTAGCTTGATGTCAGCAGTACAGAGCAATGAGTATTGTTTTCTGCTGTTGGTAGATAAAACTGATGTTTCACGATCGCTTTTTGTCTGTGACTCGCTGCCTTGAAGAATTTGCTTGAGATGCAAATTCCACATGCTTTAGCAGTCGCACAGAGCTAAAGGCTTTCTCTCCCAGGAGCAGGTATGCTTGGGCTGTAGGTCACCTACAGAGAAGGGTGAGAATGATCCCATCATTTCTGGCATCCTGGAGAAGGGTGAGGAGCCATCTTCCTCTGCAGGGAGGTACCCCTCATTCTGCCCTGTGTCAGAGTAATGAGGATGGCCCAGGGTCTGATATGGCTCACTGCACCTTGTGGGTTATATGTGTTTTACAGAGAAAAGAGTTTGAAGGTGTTAGTTTATCAATGTTGGTGTCAATATCTGTGCCTTGTTGGACTGTGGACAACAGCAAATCTCTAGCAGGCATGCTACTGCTAAATTAAGGTGGGATGACTTGTCCGCATCAGTGCTGCATTCCCATTTAGATATCCTAAGGGTTACGCTAGCCCTGTTAGCTTGGGTATTGCACTTGGGGATTACAGCCAATTATCCCCTTTCCCAAGTCTTTTTCTAAGTAGTCTTACTAATATTCCAGCCTTTTGGGGACAGGCAAGTATATGTAAGATGACAACAGAAATAACACTTTGAAAAATGTCCACTTTCTACTCAGAAGAAAAAACAGGTTGTCTGTGGTTTTCCTTTAACTTATGCGCCATTGTGTGAAATTCTTCTTCCCTGCTTTATATCTTTTTGCACTTCACTGTAGGCATTCAAAAATAGTTCTGTTAGGACATACAGGCAAAGTATTTGCTCACACAGTCAAATACATAATTGGCCAGATTTACACATGATGGAAACTTAATTTTATTAAGCAAAGTAACAACAGAAATGTCAACAAAACCAAATTCACCCTGCTTTTCAATTAGGTGAGTTTTCATATAATCTTTAAATAGATATGCATATAACATGTTTGCATGTACTCTTCCAATTAGAAGAGTTTTCATATAATCTTTAAATAGATATGCATATAACATGTTTGCATGTACTCTTCTGCTTACAGAAGTGAACTGGGGAAAATCAAACCATGCTGTGGTGTAAGAAGGAAGAATTATTTTAATAGTTGCAGTATTCAGAAGTATTTGTAAAGTTTATCAGTGTACGTAGCTGTATAAATACATGCTGCAAAGTGTTCAGCAAGGAGAAAACAGTGATCTGATAATCTGGAATTGTTAACAATTATTTTTTAAGGCAAGTACATAGGCTTCTTTCATAGAATTGTGTGCAGGGAAGAGAGGAAGAAGAGGATTTTTAGTGTTTGTCATGGTGTTTACTGTCTGTATGTCAGAGTATTCAGAAACGCAGTGGCTTCAGTTGGACTTTTCCATGGACTCGCTTCAGGACATCCCAGCATTTGTTACGACAGCTGGAGCATATGACATTTTGCCAGTGGAACAACACATAAATGATTTGGAATAGCCTGTGTGAGCAATGCTTGTTTATGTGGATCGTGGGCTGTTGCTGCCTTATTTTACAAATTACAAACAGGGAAGAAAAAACCCCAACAAAAAAGTTTTGCAACAACACCCACAGCTAGCTGTGACTTACGCAAACCTTGTTCTTAAGTGACTTTGTGAACTGTTTTTAAGGGGACCAAATGCATCCCAGATTCAGGAAAGTGTTTCTCTTCTCCACTGGCTGAGGTTGCTCTTATCTATTTTAATCAGCCTGTTATTTTAAATAGGCACAATCTCTAGTTGCATAAACACAACCTAGCCACAGGTTGGGGATCTCTTGGCATTACCAATCACACCCTTTCTCTGGGTGGAAAGCGTGGTCCCAGAGGAATTAATGCAGCTTGTTTTTTTGATGCAGGCTGCGATTAGGAAGCCTGCATAGGAACACAGCTTTTTCTGTTGTTTTGGGGACCATCTGTGTTTTCCAGCCCTTTAACTGGCATCAAAAGGGGTTTGTAAACTGTAGGAAAGATAATTCCTCCCCTCTGTCAGTGGTCTTGATGTACTGACTGGCTCAACATGACCTGGTTTTGGGACTGGGCTTCCCAGTGGGTGCTCAAGCCTAGACTATGAATTCTGAGCTTCCTGGCCCAAATTTGTCTGAAATGCCTAATTATAACTTGGGTCGCAGGTGCAGTAATGAGCTGTCATTAACCTGATGATTGGTAAAGGTCAGGCTCTTCATGGGGAAGGAGTAACAGGCAGATGGCAAGTAAGACATTGCCAAAAAAGTGAAACAAAAAAGCACCAAGAAGGGCCAAAGCCAAACTATTATGTGCTCCTGATGGAGCCCAGTGAGGCTGCTATCCACAACTCTTCATTGGTGAGAAACGTGGGGAGTAATGACGCTGTGCTGCTTCTGAAAACAGACCCCAGCATGTCAAAGGAAGATCCAGCCTGCAGGCTCTGATGACTGGTTGTGGTGGGATCCCATCTTGGCTCCATCACTGGAACCATTCAGGTGTGAGATCGCCCCAGTGTCTTTGCACGGCTGGAGTGGATTGAGTCACTGGCTCCTGCCTGTGTGAACCTCCTTGTGAATAACTACCTCCTCTCTGTCTACATGTGTCTTCAGCCTCAATGAAACACAGCAACAGATTGCAGATGAAA